CCTTTGCTAAAAAAGAAGATGGAACTAGACTCGAGATCATTAATTGATTCAGAGGTCATCAAATTTAGCCGATCCGAGAAGTTTGCCAAGTTTCGCTTCAAAACTAAGGAAATCCAAACGATTTAAACGTACACATTGTATAGTTCTTCAAGAATCGGTTCAAATTTCTGGGCACTGGCACGTCGAGGATCAGACTCTTCTAGAAAATCTTCTCATGAAAATTTTTAATGAAGAAGAAAGTTGTCAAGCAACGAACAGCGTAGGCCAACCTTTGAAAACACATACGATAAGAATACGCAACGCATAAATAAAGGTCGAGGAAATTGTCGCGTACATTTTGAAACAACCTGTAATCAACTGTAACTATCTGTCGCATAAACACTAACACATTTCGTTATACTTACCGCTTACTAACTGAAGAAATTGTGGCAAAAAGCTGGTGCTATGTAACGCAAGCGCTTCAATACCACTGGTAACTACTGGGAGAAGATGTGGCGAAATATTCATCACAGTGAATGCCTCGCAAGTTCGCTGAAAGGTGACAAAATCTTCTAGGATTTTTGGTAGTAGAAAAGAAGGATGAAAGGATATTGGAAGCATAAAACAAATTGTAAAAGCTTCTCAAAAAACTGACTACGCCATGAAACCAAAAGCTGTCAACTACCTGAATTAGAGTGTTCTTGAATGACACTTGCAAAGGTTCCTCCATGATTCGGAATGATGCGGACCAAATAAGATTGGAGTAGTCGATAGAAGACATCATCCTTAAACAACGCAATCAATAATCGATACGCCATGGTAAGGGACCTGTTGTTGGTCCCTTACCATGGGTATCGATAAATACTGATCCAATATATTTAAATGTAATTGTTAAGAAATGCTGGAGAAACCATAAATAACCATAAAAAATACCAATTCAAGAAGAAAAAAAAATTGCAAATGCAAATACAAATAAAAACAAGTGGGTGTCTGAATAGTTGAGTAATAATAAATATCACCCACGGGCAGACATGAATGGGGTCGGTCACAGCAAGTTGTTTCCCTGTCTCCTCCAGTAAGAACCCTGTAACGTACTGAACGACAGGCTTGAGGGGATCCAGTGTCATGGACTGCATCAGGTAAATGAAGCCATGTAACGCAGACTCACGAACAAATGGATAATCCGAAGTCAATCCATATTCGACCTGAAGTTTTGTAATAGGGTCCAGTACTTGATCAATACAAAGAGGCTTGGTAACTGACCCAGGAGAGTATTTGCTTCGCTAGGTCAGCTTCAGTCATACCACGGGATGCAGTTTCGAGTCCTATGACTGTTACAGCTTTCAACAAGCTGTAAATAACATAGCCG